AAGGAACAAAAGGTAAACATAATTGTTTGCAAAACTATATTAGAAGGGAGGATGGGAAAGAGAAGTACAAACCTCTCGTCTCATGGGGCCAACAATGACTGTTCCTATTTGCCTTTTAATCATACAAAGGAACTTAAAACCTTCCCCTCACTTTCAGGCAGGCCTAACCCACAGCTTAGTGGCTTTCTGCTCTGCCACCAGCTCTTGCACTTCCTGCTGACAATAAGTGCTTCTTGTAGCCCAGCTGACTTTAATGCCCAGATCAAAAGCTTTCTTGCCACAAAACAAATTATATTTGACAAAGTCAGATCCCTTCTAAACCACAACTATATAGATGGACTTGGCAACCTAATTGAATGGTGATCTGATCCCCAGTTTAATGCATTTTGTAGTTTTTGTTTGTTTGTTTGGAGGGGTTGCTTTTTCTTTCAAAAGTAATTAGTTCTATTCCTTGCTTTTTCATTTATTTGTGTGTGTATGAGATGGGGGCTGATGGGTGTTGGAAGGGAGAGTAAAAAATCCAGTTGGCAAATCCCTTCCACAGATGAGATGGTAGTGGGCTTTAACCATCTAACCCCGTCATCTTACGGTACATTGCCCAGAAGCACCTGAGCTCAGAGGCTATTTCCAATGGTGCATTTTCCCTCAGAAATATGAGTTTGTCACTGACAGAGCTCATTATGCTTGCTTTAGTCAGACTCTGAGAGTGCTTATCAGCACATCTTTTCTATATTCTTTTCAATTTTTGAGTTGATCCCTGCTTCTGACATGATACACTTATGAGCTGTGTGTACTTTGTTCCTGGGAATAGATTAGAGAGGTATACACCTGAGCTCTGAGCACACACTGGAAGGTGGTCCTTAATCCTCATGTTCAATGTATGCCCAAGGTCTACAGGCATCCCTTGCTGTCTGAAAGTTCACGTTATACCATTTTGCTTTTATGGAAGACCTACATTAGTACCTGTTTTTGCTAATGGAAAGGGATCAGAAGAGGATTTTTGCTTTTAAGTTAATGGCAATTGCTTTAAGTCATCTGGGCTTATGAAAAGATTCATAGCAATACTCTACTTTTGGGTAACAAGGGAAACCTGTCTATGATTCCTAGGGGATTCAGCAATTTTAAATGGTGCCAGAGGACTTGCAGGGAATTTCATCTTTGTGAAATATTTCAGCAGCGATGAACTGCAATGATACCATTGAG